ATTTAGAAGCAGGACGACCTGCATCGTCGCTTTACCGCTTTCGTTGATTTTGACCACCTTCCAATTATCGGTGGGTAGCTCCGGGTTATAGAGCCTTATGGTTTGGAGGATCCTTTCTGGCTCCGCTGGCCTGCAAGGCAACCATGCTCTCGCTCTCGGTCGCACCGGTAGGTCCTTGAAGTCGACCGCCCTGAGCTTCGCACCAGGGTAGACTTCTCCAATACCTGCGACTGTTTTCTTGTAGATCTCCGCTGATCTAGCATCCTCGCATGCTATAACGCGGATGTTATTTTGGAACCACCCCGCTCCCTTGCAGGTTGGCGGAGGTCCCGGATTCTCCAACATAATGTTGATAGCAATGTCGGCCATCGCGGCCTTAACCCACTTCCATTGCTGCCTCAGGGTGAGGCTGTCTTCATTGCTCTCATCGATGACGCCGAGCAGGATCTGCTCCTTGGCTACTTCAGCAAAAGAAGGCCCCTGCGTTCTGACCCTCTTTGCGTATTGGTTGGGCGTATTTTCCCCCGATCTATTGCGCTTACTGGAGGGCGCCTGCGGCTGCTTCTCCTCCGGCTTGCGGTAGTCGGGCAGGACTGCCTTTGCCCAGTCGATTTCTGTGAGGATCTCCTTCACATGCTCTTCTTTCGCCTTGCTACACAGGTCAGGCGTTGCGGTGAACCTTTGCAGGATTCGAGCAGCCAGCTTCCTCTGACGATAGCCCGCTGCAGCTGGTTCTGGCCTCTGGTCAGGCCTCGTGAAGGCCGTGGGTGTCGCGGGAGGACCGCCCGGGGCCTGCGCCCCAGATTCAGCCTTATCCCCGGCTGCAATCTGCATGCCAGGTTGGCGTCCACTGGTGCCAGGAGTTTCCCGGGGTGGACTCCTTTGAGCAGCCCCACCGCCACTTTCCTTCGTTTTTGCGAGAGCTTGGCCCGGTTTCACCATTGGCCTTGGTTTCCCGCTATTTGTCACCGCACTACGGCTGGTGGAGGTACTCTGCATCGCTTGAGCTCCTTGTTTAGTGGGCCGAGACCCTTCCGACGCTTTAAGGGGGCCGGTCCCTTTATACATTGTTTTTGATGTTGTTGTTTGCTGTTTTTGTTGTTGTTGTTGTTAATTGTTTCTTGTCCATAATTGATCCCACGGGCTGCGGAGAAAGGGGTTCGTCCACCCGGGCAGAGATCCGCGATGCCCAGGTAAGGCCTACTTACATCCTGGGTGTGGCCGCCTCCCAGAGGGCTCCGTTCGCGACTGGGCTATTTAGGGGCCCCCAGCCTGGCCGATCCTCGGTACGGTGCGCGTGACGCCTTGATCCAGCCCCTTCAGACCTCCAAGCCACGATCAGAAACCATTTCCATATGACTACACTATTAAGGAGTTTAGCACATAGCACTGATTCCTGATCTTAGCTGAGCACCATTCTGACATCGCACAGAATCCTCTGTAGTGCCCATTACCAGTCAGCACCCTCGTGGAGGGTTCAGCCGGAGGATTTTTGCCGACCTGGTGGACGTCTTAAAATATAATAAATTGTGTGATCCGGGCGGAAAAACCGCGACTTTTTGGGGTCCTTGGCACATGAATTTTCGTAGCTTTGTGGCTTAGCTTGCAAAATTTTGAACGACTTAGTCCATAATGAAGCCATGGCTGTTGCAAGTAAGCGACATAATTGAGCTGTAAAAATTGCCTTGGAAACATTCTCTAATACAAATACTATCACGGACTTCGGTGCTGGCCACATTGCATTGAGAATAATTGACACACTTTAGCAGAAAATAGGTTTTTATTATAGCAGTGAACCGTAAGCCCTGGCAGCTGGTGCTTCTTTTTTCCTAATTGTAATATATTATTTAGGGGATTCATAAGACCTGCTAAGCGTCCTAGTGTCTAAAGCAGTGATTCCCAAACTGATCCAGGTGGACCCCAGGGGTCCATGGGAGAATCGACAGGGGTCGACGACGTTGGCGTGAAAAAAATATGGAAGTCCACGAGTTGTAAGTGGGGGTAGGAAAGAACCAAAATGGTTGCTTGATAGCCTATTTATTTAACTAAAATTTTTTTGAGTGGTCTATAGAGCTCTTGACCACTGGTGAACTTACCGTCACTTTGTGTCATCATACGTGGGTCTTACACGCCACCTGCAGGCTAAAGAGAAACGGCTGTTTGTATATTACTAAGTCAGGCGATGCGGAAATTGCCGGTGGCAGATATTTGAGCACTTGTGTATTTTCAATGCTACAGGATAGTACGGCACCATTACATGTGTTGCATGCATTTCCCTTAAGGGGAATGCTGGTTTAATTCCAGCACTGAGCCCGCACTCGTACATTGCCGAATCTTCAGTGATGGCTCAAAAACTGACTGAGGGTCAGGATCTGGAGTATATTTCGAAGTTAATGGGGAAAAGCCTCACTTTTTCTCTTGGGGGAATATGCTTCGGTCTTCTAGGCTGAAGTATTTGCAATCCCCAAATCCATAGACTACGTGGTGGAAAATAGGAGTTCACGTGTCTGCAGGTACAGCCAAGCAGCACTTAAGGCATTGGCCAGCCCTCTATCTAAGTACTTCCAAATTAGTTCGGCAATGCAAGTCTTCNGGCCAGCCCTCTATCTAAGTACTTCCAAATTAGTTCGGCAATGCAAGTCTCGACTAAATTATGTTGGCAAACATAAAGAGCTTGCTTTACTCTGAGTGCCAGGCAACTCGCCTGGAAATGAGACAACTGACCCTTTGCCCACAGTTGGCTTAGACCAGGTATTCCTCGATCCGCAACCAGTTATATCACTCCCCACTTCGACTATCGAAGCCACCATCAAAACTGGGTGGATACTTCGCCCAGCAATGACTGTGAGCCATCGATTGGATGCGGGTGGGCAAAACTCATGTTGCCTTCAATCTCATAAGATCTATCTAGTTTTTTTCCTCTCACTGAGAAGACGGGACTGCTGACTGGTCACGTCACGTGGCACAAACACCAGACTGTGATTGGCGTAAATGACAACTGCATCCTGATTTGAAGAGGATGAGACGGTGGAACACTTCTTGAGCTTCTTGCTTGCTTGTTTGTTTATCCTCGATAAATCTTGATTTGGTCTTTTCTTTTTTGTCAGCTTATGAGTTTGAGGTTTGGCGTAAAAACTTTTCAGTTTTGTTGTTTCAAATTTTGTGTGTTTAAAAATGCGAGTGACGAATATTTTTCGCATCAGTTTAAAACTCGGAACGATGGAAATAAAAATGATGCCATTAATACAAATACATAAACTATTTGACAAATACATTACATGCAAATTTCTGAGTGAGCCGAACATGTGAGGAGTTTATGGTGAAGGGAATGTAAATAACGCTATCGCTAGGAGTGCCCTTAAAAATATAATCCCTCAGAGCGAGAGAGTACTTTGATGGCTTTACGAGCTCTGTTTTTTTAAACTTGCAATTGTGTAATCACATTATTTTAATAAATAGAACACAAGAAAATATTTTATTTATATTTTTGTTACTCCGAATTTAGTTTCGGAACTCACACGTGATGCAAAATTACATCGTTAGTTTCAATCTTCACATTTTTCTATGAGCTTTGGAAATATGTTAGAAATGAGCATCAGGGGGTCCACCGNCCTCAGAGCGAGAGAGTACTTTGATGGCTTTACGAGCTCTGTTTTTTTAAACTTGCAATTGTGTAATCACATTATTTTAATAAATAGAACACAAGAAAATATTTTATTTATATTTTTGTTACTCCGAATTTAGTTTCGGAACTCACACGTGATGCAAAATTTCATCGTTAGTTTCAATCTTCACATTTTTCTATGAGCTTTGGAAATATGTTAGAAATGAGCATCAGGGGGTCCACCGAAACCAGTAAAGTTTTGAAAGGGGTCTACGAGAAAAATAAGTTTGGGAACCTCTGGTCTAAAGCCTTGACATTTTTTTATGGGAAATAACAGTTGAATGGTGCTATATGTATTCTAAGAGCGAATTATATATTTCCTAAAACCATTTTAACCAAATAGCTGGTAATTTTACGCACAAACATATTTTAAGCATGTTGTTTCCGTAAGCAAATCGATTTAAACTCTTTCTTTACTTTTCATTACAGGTCGATATGATTTTAAGTTTTAATACAGGAATATATTACACTAGAACAACATGATTAACAGCGCGAATTCGGTGGACATCAAAGTAATCAACCATGGTACTGTCTTACTGCAATCGGGAGTGGTGCCGTTGGACAAATGCAAGTTAATACACACTACGAAAATACCCCAAACTGCTGGAGAAAGATTTACTTCGTCATACGAAATACAAAGTTCCCTTGAATCTTATAACTACAAAGCCAATAAAAATAATAGGGTAGATATTCAATGTGGCAAGACCAAACCACAACGTGTCCATGTTCAGCATCTAAAAACGCACCCGAATTTGCAGAACAACCGATGGAGTTCCCACAAATTGAGTAACGAAGCAGTTGCGACCACACCAAATATGTGTTTAAGTAAAATAAATCACAACAATAACTTAATTAGAAAAGAAAGTGCCTTTAGTTTGAGCAGCGGAAATAAGAATAATAATATCACCGTTTCAAACACTTTCGCGAATATTAAAGGTAAGACGGAGCTAGGTGGCGATGGAGTTATTCAATCAATTCAAAGGGTTGATGCTCATGGGGAGTCAAGTGATAGGCGCATGTCGTCCGTTCTAAGAACTGATTACCAAGAAAATGCCTTTCTCCGCATCGAGGATGTGCACAATTACGCTAAGTTGGACCATTATAGTTATTTGAATGAGAGTAGTAATAGTACTATACATGAGGAGGAAAATGAAGACGAAGAGGAAGATTTCGACGAGGATACGGATGATAACAATGATGATGCCGCTACAAATTATGAGCGTTATTTGAGGAATAGCAGGCACTTTGTCGAGAAGAAAAGGAAGTCTAATGAAGATGCGAAGCCAAATATGAGTTTTATGCGAGTCACTAGAATGGAAACGGAGGAGACTGAACACAATGTCGATATTGAGACTGTGCACACAGAACAGAATGAACCTGGGGCGACGGTGCTGAGCACACCTGATCATCATGCGCGCAGGCCAATGAATGCTTTTCTAATATTTTGCAAACGACATAGAGCTATCGTTAAAGAACGATACAAGTCATTGGAAAATAGGTAAGCGTTATAGTGACAGATGCTCATCTATCTAGAATCAAAATCTAAATAATTTATTAATCGTACCTTTTTTTGTTGTTTTTATAGAGCGATTACGAAAATACTTGGTGACTGGTGGGCTTCCTTAGATGCCAGTGATAAAAAGTGTTTTACTAATTTGGCGCAGCAAGTAATAATACCGATTTGTATTTAGTCATAGATTAGACAAATAATGGTATTTAATTTTTTAGAATAAAGATGCATTTTTCAACGCGAATCCCAACTTCAAGTGGTACAAGCTGCCCGCTCCCCCTTTGCGCACCTTAAACACCAGGCCGGGCAATAATGATCGTAACGTAGAGCAGGAGGACGACAAGTCTGTTACGTCTGCGCATTTTAGCGGCACTATGCTATCCAAATATGCAAACAGAAACAGCAGCCATGTTTTCAAACTAGCTGATGAAGCTCAAACGGGCGAACTTAGTACGTTAATTAATGGCGAAGGCAGCAACAATAACATTAATGCAAACCAGAATGCATTGCAGCAAGCGTTGGGCGAAACATCTCAGTTTCTGAACGCATATATGCCACCCAGCAGTGATAACGATGCTAACCAGTCAAGTAAAAGTCGGCTGATCAGCGAAAACAGCTTCTCAAGTAACGGTAGCGAAGATGATGTTTTGTCTAAAAAATCTTCAAGAGCGTGTAAAGGAAAAATATATCAAGAGCTTATTAATTCCGGTCAGATTTCAGCTGTGTCAAAAAAAGTAAAAGCGCCCAACTCAGTAAGCCATCCCAACGGTTTCACTCATCAAACTGTGAACCCGTCACTTACCTCCAATCGAACTTCATTGGAGGGCTTTAACAATATTACATCAATTAGTGCGACCTTACAAAAGTCTACAAGCAACGTTGGCATAAAAGAATTTTCGCCGTTAAGAGGATCTCATTCAAACAATGATTTTGTTAGTTTTGATCTGGAAGAAAAAATTAAAGAACTGCCAGCTCTTAGCTTAGACCTTTATTTGCAACGCAAGCGTAACACGAAAAAAAAGAAAAAGATCACATCAAAGAAGCGCCATTTAAATAACTCATCGAACAGCAAGAGTTTAGGGGCTGTAAATGAGATCCCTATTTCATCTATCTCGGCTTCTATAAAGGTTCGAGAAGGCGCCCAACAGCAGGCTGTGGGTAGTCAAAAAAGAAAAGCGCGTAAGGAAAGCATCACAAGACGTGACGTTACCGCCATAGAGAATGGAATCGCATCTGTTATTCCATTAGCTAAAAGCTTCAATACCATAAATGGCTGTTATTTTTTCAATGAATCGACAGGTTCGGCAATGTCAAAACCCCTATTAGGAGAACTTGGAAAAGTTGCTGTTGAAACGGGAGCGAACAATCAACGAACAAACACTTTTGACAATTTAACCAATGATAACATTTCGTCTACCTCAGACTTACTCATTCTGGCCGAGGTTGCTGCCAATCGTACCGAACTAACAAATTGAAAAGTGAACGGTTCTCATTGTACTATCTCCTCTTACAAACATATAAGCAACCAAAAAAAAAATGTTTCTTAAGAATGCATTATATCAGATATATATGCTTTGTTTATAGGATTAATCAAAAATTGTTATTGTTTTCGAAAGTTATATTTAATACTGTTAGTTTAAAGTCGGATATAAAATCGTAGTTATATTTTCACACATATACATACATATATATATATATTGTGTAAATAACTCTAATATAAACCGTGAAACTGGAGATTTTTATCCCTGTGATGTTGTGGATGACTTCTTAAATAAACGAATGCAATGTGGGTGAAAACTCTGCAATTATACCCCCCTAAACTTTTATTTCGATCAATAATGCTGCAACTCTTCTCCGTAAAGGACACAGGATACAATCCTAGTACGCTGGGCTATGAAGATACAGAGGAACTAAAATTTCGATTTTTGCCACGCGCGGTAATATTCAAATTTTCGCAACTTTTACTGGAGTGCCTCAGTTTTAGTTTAAAAATATGGATTTTAGTGGAAAAAAATAATTAGTTTAACAGTTTTAAGATATATTGAGTTTTAAGAACATTTTTGTGTTTTCCTCCGGTGCGCCTGACAACGCTGCAGTTAATGACGCGCATTTTGACCCCATTTTCAGTCTTCCCAAGTCCTACTGAACAGGTAGTAGCAGTAGAGTAGCTGATTTGTTTTTTTTTTAATGAAATTATTTGGTCTTTAATATGTCAAATCTTTATAATTTCTTTTTATAAAAACACTAAGGCCCACTTGCAGAACATCCAGAGTTAAATATATAAATAGAGAGTTAAATAGCTCAGAGTTAAATTGTTATATTCCTAAACCAGACTAAACCAGACAATGTCTTGCAGCATTGAAAATTGGCCCAGAGTTAAGTAACCCGAGGGATTTCTAAATTAAGTAGGCACCACTCTCTCGTTTGTTTACATTTCTTATTAGAATTTGAATATGAAATTTCAAACACTTAAATATGTACATACATACTACATACATAGGTACAAACTGTAAATTGGCCAACGGCACTTCTGGGAGTTGGAATTGGATGGACTACCAACACGGGTGGTGCATTTTAACCGCATATAGTTTTTACGCTAGACTTTCTGAAACCTCAGAGCTGAAGGCGTAAATATGAATCCATGAATATGTATGTATGTATGTATGTATGTATGTACATATGTTTTAAAAAATATTTTTTAAATCTCAATTTATTTTTTCTTGTTACTGACAGAATTGACATATGTATGTATGTAGAGTTAGCAAGTTAACCTTGGAAATTTTCTGGGCTAAATATTTAACAATTTAACTATAGTTTTACTCCTAACCACTGATTTTGCAAGCCAATTTATCAATTTAACTGGTAAACTTTGAGTTAAGTAGATAACCTGCTGTTCTGCAAGTGGGCCTAAGACCTACTTGCAGAACAGCAGGTTATCTACGTAACTCGAAGTTTACCAGTTAAATTGGTAAATTTGCTTGCGCAATCAATGGCTAGGAGTAAAATTAGAGTTAAATCGTTAAATATTTAGGCTCACTTGCAGAACTTCCAAAGTTAAACATATAAATAGCTCAGAGTTAAATTGCTATATTCCTAAATAAGACAATGCCTTGCAGCATTGAAAACTGGCCCAGAGTTAAGTAACCCGAGGAATTTCTAAATTAAGTAGGCACCTCTCTCTATTTTTTGACGTTTGTTTACATTTCTTATTCGAATTTTAATATAAAATTTCAAACACTTAAGCGCCACGGAGATGATCAAATATCTTTATCAAGGCTTTAAGTATATTGGTGTCGTCGGCTTTTGTCGGCTACACGTATCCCTGCAGTAAAAAGCAAACCAGTTAGAAAAAATACTAGTTCGTTAACTAGTATGTGCCAACCAGTTCGACAATTTCGAAGAACTTAGGCGATCAGCGACATCTGCCTTTGAATTGCCAAAGCCAAAAATAAAACGCAATTAATTGCTTTTCTTACAAATGTCGGCTGTGGCGTCACGTGAAGACTACTGGTTCTGGTTCTGAAATCGCAGGTTCGAGGCCGCTTGGAAGTGGTTAAGATTTTTAAAGTTAAATAAATGTAAGTAAAAATAATTTATTCAATTTATAAATAAATACAAATTTGAAAATCTAATACAATAAACAGCCTAAACAAAAAATTAAATTTATAAAAAATAAAAATAAAATAAAAAAAAGAAAATAAAAAAATTTTCCCTGCGCCAGGAATTGAACCTGGGACCTCAGGCTTACCACGCGAGTGCTTTGCTCTGTCCGCCATTGTGACTGCTGGAGCGTCGCGAGCAAAAAGGCACACTTATGCCTTTCAGGGGGCATGAATTGGCAGACTATCTCATCAACTGGTATGATGCTACTAGTACTTATACTAGTAGATGCTGATGCATAGCCTGACAATTTACATCTCGTAGGACATCGCAATGTTAAAAATACCAGTCGCTAACATTGAAAAAGGATAGAACGTGAACTAGTTCGGCTGAAACGCAAACCGGTAGAATTCTAGTTCACAACTAGTAGCTTTCCCTGCAGGGTATGTATAAGGGCAGCGCAATAGTTTCACTGCGTAATGAAATACGCATAACAAAATTTTCCCTGCGCCACGATTTGAACCTGGGACCTCAGGCTTACCACGCGAGTGCTCTTCTCTGTCGGCCATTGTGACTGCTGGAGCGTCGCGAGCAAAAAGGCACACTTATGCTTTTCACGGGGCATGAATTGGCAGACTATCTCATCAACTGGTATGATGCTACTAGTATTTATACTAGTAGATGCTGATGCATAGCCTGACAATTGACATCTCGTAGGACATCGCAATGTTAAAAATACCAGTCGCTAACATTGAAAAAGGATAGAACGTGAACTAGTTCGGCTGAAACGCAAACCGGCAGAATTCTAGTTCACAACTGGTAGCTTTCCCTGCAGGGATACTACACCGACTCGTTGTCGGCTATGCTTGATGAAACTCATAAAATTTTGATATTTGAATGTGATGACTGTTTATTTGACCGTCTCGCGTTATGCTTGACAAAAAACAAGCTCACTTGCCTTCTGGGCATCGTGGTGAGAAAGCGCGCGGACAAGGAAAAGAAATTGTTTTACGTTTGATTGCTCATATCAATACTTACTAGCTTTATGAAAGATAATAAATATTAATTTATAACATATAACATATAAAATTATGCCATAAATGATATAATAGGTTTGTTCCACAAGCTAATCGAAGTCACTTCGAGTTACACATACGCGTTTCACAAGTAAGTTTTAGAGTTTATTTGACATACGCTGACAGTCTGAACTTTGCTCGAGTTTTTCTACAAGTAGCTTGTGGAACACAAGGCACATTAATACAGGTAGAAGCCAAAATGACGTTGCTCTCATGAGAACCAAACCCTTAAACTTCAACTTGTTTTTCTTTTATTTCCTATATTTCGTTACGCTTTGAATGTCATATCGTTGTTTTTTTTTAATGTTCGTTAATAACAAATTTTAATTAACATGTGAATTTGAGTAGTGTTGTGCGGTTTATACTTAGTGTATGTGTTAAAAATGCAACACCTGAAGCGTTGTTTTTTATGTGGTTTTAAATATGAAGCAGATACCACTAATTGTTTTTAACGTGCCTCAATGTCCTTCGCGTAAAGAGCGTTGCGAAAACAGCTTTGGGGCAGAACTGCAGCGAAATGCCTTGCTGTGCGTTAAACATTTTAAAGCAGCAGATTTCATAAATGCACCGGGAGGTACAGGAAAGGCACTTTTGATACCAAGTGCTGTTCCTATGACCCTTATGCCGGAAAGACCCTCCAACTCATAAATTAAAAACAGAAAACAACATACAAATTAACAAATTTTAACTAAAGAAAAAAAATAAAAACAAAACTTCAAATTTACTCAAACAAGCGAAATGTAATTTTTTATTTCCTTACACACGCTCATTTTTATTTTTACTCTCCCGAAAACTTTGACTTTTGTAGGTTTGATGTCAATTTGGCTTCTACCTGTGTTTATTGTACCATGTGTGGAACAAACCTAATAATTAACAACAAATACTCATCCGATGACATCGTGCTAACAAACGAACACTGCGTATTCACAATACAAAGTGGTGATTGACGCGTTTATTTGAACGTTTGCAGGACACGAGAGAACCTCACTCACACATAAGCAATGCTTGACGTATTTATTTGATTGTCTCCGTGGCGCTTTACATACATATGTCGTAATATCAAATTATTCTCTGTGTATGTTCTTTGATGGCTGCGCATGCCTGTGTGAACTCGTCTTGTTGGGGTGTTGTTTCACTCTTGTCGTTTCCGATCGTATGTGCTCTGGTTCTATATCATTACCTCCAAATTATATTGTATTGCCGTTCTCATGTTAGTGTGAGAGTACACTACATATACTCGCTAACAAGATTTGATAAGCGAGACGTAAGTGAGCTGTGGCTGAACTTAGTCCTGAGTGTTGCTGAGTGTGAGAGAAAGGGGAATGTTCACCTATGAAATATGTCATATGTCTGTATGCGATTTCGACGACGAAAAGGATGCTCGACTAAACAAAAGGGTATCGGAGATTGATCGTGGAAGATACAGCCCCGTAGCGAACGTCATGCATTAGTCACTTAAGAGTCTTGTACGGAAAAGTTACATCTTAAATGACTTTGGGTTCCGTTTGTATGGAAGTCGTTCATGACTTTCATATATATGGTAATCTCGTCGTTGATGTCATCTGCATGACCAAGTCATGCCGTGATCATTAATGACATTCAAGCGACAGTATCTTCCAATGTACTTTTTATAAGTGACCGCTGCAAGACATTGTCTGTTATAAGTCTTTGATAGGAGTACACCTGCATGACATTGTCACCGGTGTCATTGTCAGCTATATGTCGTTTAGGATTCACAGCAAGTGCGACGATATCACAAAATCCTCATTAGTGACGATTTCACCGGTGACCATTTTCGCTACTGGGAGCATACACTTGGGAATTCGTTGTCTGCGCCAAGTTCAGTTTTAAAGTACAAAATACAAGATCGACGACAGGGAAAATTGTGGAAACTCGTCATCAGAAGCGGGACCTGTACCTACACCTACATTTTCTGAAGAGCAGTGGCGCGTAATCCTCGAGATGCAGGCATCGACACGTGCACAGCGACAGAACACTACTGTTATGTTGCCAAACTTTAACCCTGATGTCATGGGTGTCGACGCGTCGCAATGGTGTATGACCGCTGATATAATTTTATCGGAGCAGCCGCTTAAAGGAAGTAGCCTTATTATAGCATTGAGCAATTGCATGG